TCCTCATATTTGTACATGTAAAAGGATCTCTGAGGCATGATGGATAACTATAGATAGCATTGTCTAAATGTGTCAGGAGAAATTAGGAGAAAACTTTCTAGAATGGTGACCTGAAGGTAACCAGTGTATTGTAGTGGTTTTGAATGCTAAGTTTATCACGTACAGGCTATGTGATCTTGGATGATTGATTGGATGTTGCTGAACAAGCTTTGCTCATCTTTAGATGGGAATAAATAATACTTATCTGGGAAGACTGAAAACAATTTTCCTTCTCTAGCTTAGGACATGTAGTTTCCACAATACGTAGCAAATTATAAGAACAAATACATGCAGTAAGCATGGCAATTGGTGTTTCCCTCTTACATCAATGTTTGTATCTCTCTCCCCCTAAAAAATAACAAAAACCTATTTTAAAAAATAATTTTTTAAAGTTAGTAATTTAAATTAATAATTTTCGCTGATTTAAGATATAATTATTTACAGAGTGCTTAGAGGAAAATTTCTCTCCAGTATATAAAAATATAATTTACCATTAAGCAGGTGTTTTCTTTTTCTACAGCTCTTTTAAGTAATGTCATGCATAATATATTTTTACTGCAAAAAATAAATATACAAGCAGTATAGTCTGGTTTGTCAATTTCATCGTATGACTGCCAGAATGCAATTGTAATCTTTGTAAGGAAGAAGTTAAAAACATACCCTTAAGGAATTGGTAAGAGGGTACTTCTTACTCACAAATAGAAACATTAGCTTTCAAGTATTTTAAGTACAGTCAGAAATGTTCGAATTTCAACCCGAAAGAAATCAAGAGGCAAATGGAGCATATCATGTTCATCATCCAATATTGTTTGTATCATATTCCTCAATGGAATAAGGAAACCATTAAATAAAAGAATTTTCTATAGTAATATCATTTTATAATTTAAAGACATGAATTTCTAAATAATATGAACACACATGTACACACACACCCGTGCACACGCACACACACACATACCCCTACTCTATTTCGTACATCTAAACAAATGCAAAATATATTTTCAAATCACAATATTTAATAGTATTAAATATCAGTAAGTTACTTGGAGGTGTTCAAATATTTAGAAATTTAACAATTCTCTATTAAATAGCACTTTGGTCAAAGAAGAAGTCTCAAAAGTTACCTGGAGGTGTTCAAATATTTAGAAATTAAACAATTCTCTATTAAATAGTACTTTGGTCAAAGAAGAAGTCTCAAGAAACATTTTAAAAATATTTTTAACAAAATGAAAATGAAAATACAACTTATCAAACTCTGTGGGATGCAGAACCATGCCTTTATAAACGAACAACTGAGTTACACATTATTATACTTATCTTTTGAATCCAAATTATAGCTTCTTATTCAAAAACATTCATATGTAATGCTTATATTAATTCTGTTCTAATAAAATTCAATACAGTTTGTGTTTAACATACATAGAGTCAAACTGACCTCATAGAAGCTTTCTGGGTTTTTATTTTTGGCTTCTATTTTTATTTACTTAAATTTTCTTTAGCTGGAAACGTAATACAGCAAGTCACTTTCTCTTTGAAAATATAAATGCACAGTAATTAGGGACCCAGAAAATTTTGAGCAGCATGGGATGAGCCATGCAATAATGCGAGCTCACATCTGTAGCTTGGCTAAAATTGTCACACAGACCTAATTCTTCTTCAATGCAAGTGTAATTCATTTCTTAGCATTTCCATGTGGAAATGAATTGGTGACTCTGTTTGTCTAAACCCATTCACTACTTAATTTTTTATTATATCTTTTTTCAACGATGCTACTGGGAAACAATGCACTGTGCAGGTTGATACGACTGTAAATTGTGACTTACAGTCACAAAAGTATTTCAGTATTGCGTAGTGATCTTCCATTTTATGTTAATTAACATTTCCTCATATTTTCCTCACTGTTTATTTCAAATCTTGTACAATCTTTTGCCTCCAAACTCACAATCTCCACCAATAACCTCCTATTTCATAGAGAGAAATAGAAGATCCCACAAGGTAAAAATTGTTCAACTTTCAACCACCAAAGTCACAACCTTAATAATCTACAATAATCTTGCTTCTTTTCTTCTACTCTGCACTGTTTCTGTTGTCAGTCATTTTTTTCCAGTGTTCTATTACCTCTGTGTGTATTCCTTCTTCATGGTTTCAACAAGATCAAGCCCTTTACATTTTAAAGCAACCTTCTGATACTTTACATACATATTTAAAAATATAAATATATGATTGGTATGATTAGGTTTAGAATTCCAGCCCAGCATCTCTTTTACACTTGTATCTGTATATACCCTCGATATCTGGATATGTCTACAAGAAAACCATTCAGATACACTTCAAATTCAATATATGTTTAAATGATTCTGATACACCTTCTGCCTTACCATCTTGTTTCTGCACCTGCTCCTCCTGGGTTTCTTTCTCTCTGTTTAAGTCAACAGCCTTTGAGACCTTGCAGTTCTGTTTAAACATGTCTGCACTCTATCTGTGTTATTATATTTCTACTGCCAACTTATTCATCAGGCCATCACTATTGTGTCACTAGAGTAGTGTTACTGTCTTCTTCACATTCTCCACTCTCCCAGTTGTACCCACCAGTATGTACATTCCTCACACTGCAAATAAACTGATGTCATTAACATAAAATATGTTCTTATTAATCTCCCATGTAAATTCTTTAAGAAGTTTCTCCATTGCCCTCAAATAAAATGTGAGCTCCTTTGCTAATAATGCCTGCCCCCTCTTGATATACCATCTACCTAAATCAAGAGCTTATTTTATCATACTTTCTTTTCTCTCTACACTTCAAAGCTCAACTTCTCTGACTTCTTCAAAGATTTCCAGGGTCACACTCATCTCAAAGTCTTTAGCGTGACCTTTTCTCCTGAAATTCCCCTCCTTGGCAAGTTTTCCAGATGATTCCATTTCATTGTGCAAGCTTATCTTTATTTCCTAGTAAATGTCCCTGCTATATGTTTTTATATTTCTCTAGATTATCTTTTTTTTTATAACAAATTGGTGATGCTGCTTGCCTAATAATCTGTCTCCTTCATTAGGTTTCTAGTTCTTTACATTGATACCTAATTCCACTCGGTCATTGATGAATTCCTAGTACCTACCATATTGCCATGCACATAGATTAGAATAAAATAGAATTGTTTAAAGTATTCTTTATACCTTAGCAAGATTATTAATTTAAATCCAGAAGTTATGATTAATATATTTCAAATGAACATGATCATCCAGAACTTTTAGTTTGAAGAAAGTTATAATTTAACCTTTTCTGTGTGCATATTAACATAATATATTACTTATGTGAATTCATATTTTATAGATTTATAACATCCACAACTGAATTTGCAAAGAGGTATTTTATAACTCAAATTTAATTTTTAAATGATCTAAATTAGCCATTAAGATATTAGACTTACCATAAATATTTGATATTAATATATTAATTTCGTATTATAATGGCATAATTTTTTTTTATTTTAACAATATCTAATTGATAGTCAAGGTGTATTAGAAATACTAGAATTTTTAGTCTGACAAACCTGGATTTTAATGGCTAAGTGAAATTGAATAATTATAAGAGCTACCATTTATTGAATGACATACATATTTAAATTGTCTAATTCCATCTTCAGGACTACCTTGTAATTCAATGCTACTATGTTAATTCCTTTAAATTAATATAAAACAGTGGAGCACATTACAGCTCACGTGGCCTGTGAACATCGAATGAATAAATAACATAACTGAGATCCAAAGAGCACGTATTACCATTATACCAATTATCGTTCTTCTCGCATTCGAATTCATTGTGAAGTTTATAATTTACTTGTTAATTATGCAGTGTAGTGATTTGCACTGTGAAAAACCTCAATAAGTGGTAGTTACTTTTTTTTTTTTTTTTCAATTGGGCCAGCCTATTAAATCTCAAAATCCCCATTTGGTTTCTTGCCTTGCTTTTGGGAGCAGTGATGTCTTCCCGAGGAACTGCTCTCCTGGGCCCTCCCTTCACATTTTGGTGAGCGATGAAAGAGAACATGACAACCCTGCTGCCTCTATTCACCATCCTTCCATCACACCATTTCACATGTTCTCTTCCATTTCTCGCCTCCCATGCTCCCACCGCTTCTGCAGGGGTTGGAGGAAAACTTATTCTAAGTGTAGTCATTTGTACAACAGAGTTTTCTGTGTTTTTTATATTTGTAAGAGTTTCCACTTCCCGGATTACCATTAGAAGAACATGGTCTGTCACCAACAGATACCTTAGAGCTTATATGTGTATGAAAATATTACATGAACATGATATTTAAATCATTTTATTCTTATTTTGTCTTCTATTTTATTTTTTTGTATCCTCACCGAGGATGTTTTTGCATTCATCTTCAGAAAGAGCGGGAGAAAGAGAGGAAGGAAGAGAGAGAGAGAAACATTGTTGTGAGAAACACATCAGGCTGCCACCCACATGACCCCAACCGGGGCAGGGGACAAACTGCAACCAAGGTAAGTTCCCTTTGCAGGAACCGAACCGGAGCCTCTCCAGTCCACAGGCCAATGCTCTAACCGCTGAGCCAAACCAACCAGGGCTTATTTTGTCTTCTAAATTTTTTTTTTCTAAAAATAATCAGAGAGGGATACTTATATCTGAAAAAAATCAAATCCATCCATAAAAGAAGGATCTTGACTATTGCTATGTCTCAATTATGTTCAAGCTTGATGCAAAAGACTATAGTAAGTTTCTGGTTTTACTATGTAATGATACCAATCTTTTCAAACTAGGTGATTATAGAGGGAAGGATGAGATACAACATAACTACCTTTCTGCCTGGCCTTGTTTCACAAAGAAGACGCCTAGCTGCTAGTGGCACAGTCCTTATAAAAGCACAGCTAAGAAAATTTTGTATTATTCAGTAATTTAGGAACATCTTCACTAACATTGTATGTTTTTCTGTTTAAAGGGATATTGAAAACCATTGAACCTACTCTATCTTGACGAAAATCCAGTCGTTAAGTTTGCCTGCACCTTGGGAATAGTAAAGAAAACCAAAAAGCCTATTTCCAGGAATCCCTGAACAAAATCTCTGCTTAGAAATGTCCAGCAACATTGAAAGCCCATGTTCAGCAATCACTTATGGCCTTTTCAAGATAAACTGTAAAATACAGTTTCCTATAATGAGTGACAAATCAGTTATGCTTCTGAGCCTGTTGATTCTTCACAGCATCTTTACAAATGGAAAAGCAACATGTAAATGGCGATTGGTAGAAGAATGGCATACACAGCCTTCATCGTATGTGGTGAATTGGACACTAACAGAAAACATCTGCGTGGACCTCTATGGAGATTGCTGGGTTGAGGACATAAATATTGAAATGAGTACCTCAGGCAAGCAAGCTGTTCCCCAGATTTGTCCTTTGCAAATTCAATTAGGAGACATCCTTCTAATTTCTTCTGAACCATCTCTTCACTCTCCCGAAATGAATTTGATGAATGTTTCTGAAGCATCATTCATTGACTGTCTGCAGAATGCCACAACTGAAGAGCAGTTACTTTTTGGTTGCAAACTAAGAGGATTGCACACTGTGAATCCTCAGTGGCTGACCGTGGGGACACATTATTTTATTACAGTAATGGCAAGTGGTCCTTTGCTTTGTCAATTGGGACTTCGACTAAATGTGACAGTGAAGGAACAGTTCTGCCAGGAACATCTGAATTCAGAATACTGCTCTGGGCACGGTAAATGTCTGACTGAAATTTGGAGCAAGACATACAACTGTCATTGTGAGCCTCCATTTTCTGGAAAATACTGCCAGGAACTTGATGCATGTTTTTATATACCATGTAAAAATAATGGCAGCTGCATTAATAAATGGAATGAGCAAGGATATGAATGTATCTGTCCCCCACCTTTTACAGGTAAAATTACTTTACAAATAACATAATTCTATTAAAATATGAAAATAAGGTGAATTCATAAATTTCTGCTTACAAAAATGCAAACAAAATCATATAAAATAATTTGTATGTTTTTTAGACTGAGCTAAATTTGGATTCTGGATATATAAAAGTTCTGTCAGGCAGTCTCTAAAATACATATTTTTCTTATTTAAAGAAGGTTTCTTAAAAACATATATGTTTTATCCTGAAATATTTATTTTTACAGCTTTCTCAAAATTCACTCTTATTGTCTCATTAAAAATATAAGATGATCAGAATAGTATGTTTTAGTCACTAAATGAAGTCCCAAGCTTATGGTATTTGCGGTAAAAGTTCTGAGTAGTGATGTGGAAATGAAGTGTGGATCTGAGTGGAGGAAGAGATGGAACTACATGGTTTTGGGAGGAGGCACTAGAACTGCTTGGGAGAGTTAGAGAGGAAACAGTCATTGTGAGCCAAAGCAATGTTCTTGGCGGGTGTGGTGTGGCACCTCTGAAGTGATTGCTAGAGAATACTAACAAGGAAGGAAAAGCATGCTATATTTAATAACTAGTTATAATAAGCTAAACGACAGGCAATGACGAGGAAAGGTTGGAAAAGTAGATGAAGCCAGAGAAAGGCAATCTAAAATCAATGTAAACTACACCGAGGCTGAAGTAGGATTTGAGGGAAAATAAACTATGTTTATCTGAAAGTTCACTAGGGAATTTGGGTCAATCCTGAGAGGAAAGTGCAGAGAAATACTGAGACATGTAGGAAACATTTTAAGTTTGGGAACTCATGAAAGGGTTTATTTTAATGGGTTTCAGAGGCCTGGCCTCGAGAATTACAACGCTAAGGGGTAACACAAGGATGATCTAGCAAGGTGAATTGCTCTGTAAGGTTTGCAATGATACTATGAGAAAACAAGTTGCAAATTAGTCGTATATTTTGGTCATGAGATTGCAGGGAGCAGGACCAGTGGATGTGACTGGAGCAGGTCAGTCAGCGATGGCACTATGATTTTGTCAGGCAGGCTTTGGGGGTCTCAACGAAGTCTTCCATGGAGCATGGGGTGACTCCACTGGAGCCCAGTTCAAGGAGGCCGTGCAAAAAAACCTCAATGAGCCACTGTAAGTTCTGAAATTCACCTAAGCCAATGTTTCACTGAGTAATTTTAGACTCTACAGTAGGAAACTATCAAGGCCATTTCAGAAGTTAGTCCCAGCAATGTCTATTGAACAGCATCTCTTCATAACTGGGATCAGATTCTCATTGACTCTTCTGTCATGGTAATAAAGGATATGCTTCCTACTCATCCTGGAGTATATCAGGTAATTAAAATTAGGGAAGTTTAGCAAAAATGTGAGAATACTCAAATTGTTGATTTGGAGTCAATGGAAGAGCAAAATAATAAAAACCTTCTAAAGCATACCTTTTAACCTAGACATAGAATTTTTAAAGAGTGTCAGCCCTCCAACTTTGACCTTTTTGTGAAAAATAGTTGTCAGCTATTCTAGGTTTTTGCATTTCTACATTAATTTTAGAGTCAGCTTGTCAGTTTTTTGTTTGTTTGTTTGTTTGTTTTTAAAGCCTACTGGGATTTTAATTTGGATAGTGTTGAACCTATAGATCACTTTGGGGAGAACTGACATCTTAACAATGTGAATTCATGAGCCAGATATATCTTTGCAAGTATTTAAGTCATCTTTAATTTTTCTCAGCAATATTTGTACTTTTCAGTGTACAAATCTTTTATGCCATTTGCCAGATTTATCCCTATTTCATATTTTATGCTATTGTAAATGCTATATATGTTTTGCATTTCATTTGTTTTTTGCTATAAATATAAATAATTGTTGTATATTTATCGTGTATCCTGCAGTCTTGCTAAACTTACTTACTAGTTCTAGTAGCTTTTTGTAGAGACCACCAAGTGGAATATATAGATGATAATGTCAGTTTCATTTCTTCCTTTCCATTGTGAATTTTTTTTTTTTTTTTTCTTGCACTGGTCAGTACATACAATGTTGAATAAAAATTTTAAGAACAGAAAAAAAATATATATGTGGCCCAAAAGGAATAACATCAGTAACAAAAATAAATTAATAAAAATTGAAATATATATATATGTGGCCAGAAAGTTTCTATCATCTATCAGAATATTGACATATATATAATCATATGTCAATAGTTTTATTTCAATACTTTTATCATAAATGCATAGAGTTGTTTTTTCTTACCCAATAGTATGATTGTTTATTAGAAACATAACCATTAATAATATGCATCATTAAATTTTATACAGGATAAAAGAACCTAGTATTATTATTCATTTAAAAAAAACTGAGAATATATCATTATACCACTTTAATTATTATTTTTATTTATTTATTTCTATGGTTTATCTCTTCCCTCCCCCCACCACCTTCTCTTCTAAGGGTTGTCAGTCTGTACCCTACTTCCACGTTTCTGGGTCTACCCTATTCCTCAGACTGTTATGTTCATTATATTCCACAAATAAGTGAGATCATGTGGTATTTATCTTTTTCTGCTTGGCTTGTTTTGCTGAGGATAATACTCTCCAGGTCCCTCCATGTCGTCTCAAAAGATAAGAGATCATTCTTTCTTACAGCTGCATAGTAGTTTATTGTGTATATGTACCACAGCTTTTTATCCATTCATCTACTGATGGACACTTGGGCTGTTTTTCCAGATCTTAGCTATTGTAAATAGTGCTGCTATGAACATGGGGGTACATATATTCTTTCGGATTGGTGTTTCAGGTTTTTTAGGGTATATTCCTAGAAGTGGGATCACTGGGTCAAATGGCAATTCAATTTTTAATTTTTTGAGGTAATACCATAGTGTTTTCCATAGTGGCTGCACCAATCTGCATTCCCACCAGCAGTGTGCTAGAGTCCCCTTTTATCCACACCCTCGCCAACACTTGTTTCATGATTTATTGATGGCGGCCATTCTGACAGGTGGAGGTAATACCTCATTGTTGTTTTAATTTGCATCTCTCTGATGATTAGTGATGTTGAGCATTTCTTCATATGTCTCTTGGTCACTTGTATGTCCTGTTTGGAGAGGTGTCTATTTAGCTCCTCTACCCATTTTTTAATTGGGTTCTTTGTCTTCCTTTTGTTGAGTTGTATGAGTACTCTATATATTTTGGAAGTTAGCCCCTTATCTGATGTGTCATTGGCAGTTATGCTCTCCCATACAGTGGGTCGCCTTTCCATTTTGGTGGTTGTTTCTTTTGCTGTGCAGAAGCTTTTTAGTTTGATGTAGTCCCATGTGTTCATTTTTTTTCTTTTGTTTCTGTTGCCTTAGGTGATGTGTCCATGAAAATTCTGCTGCGTATGGTGCCCTATACCACTTTAATTATTAATAATTTCTTCAATTTTAAATTTCATAAGATACAGAACATGCATCGTTATCAAAGAAATGGAAAATGTTCAGTGTACCAGATAACAAAGTACCACAGTTTGAGTGGCTTTAACAACAGAAGTTTATTTGCTGAGTTCTAGTGGCTAAAACATTCAAGATCAAGCTGTTCACAGGATGGGTTTATTCAAAGACTCCTCCTTTTGGTTTGTAGACAGCCATCTCCCCATGTCCACCTCTTCTTCCTTCTGTGTGTATCTGAGTTCACATCTTTTTTTCATAAGACATCAGTTTTATTTTATTTGGACCCACCCTAATGACCTCATTTAAATTTTATTACCTTACTAAAAATTCTATCTTCAAATATTGTCATGTCCAGCCAGTATGGCTCAGTGGTTGAGTGTTGACCCATGCACCAGGTGGTCACCAGTTTGATTCCTGGTCAGGGCACATGCCCAAGTTGTGGGCCCGATTCTCAGTGGGGGGCACACAGAAGGCAGCCAATCGATGTTATCTCTCATTGATGTTTCTATCTTTCTCTCCTTCTCACTTCCTCTCTGTCTAAAATTAATTTTTTAAAAAAAATTAAATATTGTCAAATTATGAGGCCTAAGGTGTTAAGATTTCAGCAAATGGGGAAAGGGTGATAACTTGGCTTATTACACTCACTAAAATCAAATAAGGACATGACCTATAAACAAACGTTTGCCTGTTAATTTAGTTTTTATGTATGGAAATATTTTGCCACACAATTATATTCAATTATATTTTCATTGTGTTGGAGGTTGTTTGGAGGTAAATGAAGGAAGAACACTTCTGAGGCAGGGATGTCAGTTTACAAGGAATATGAAAAGCATCATTGATCATAGCAAAAACTGCATGAAAAATAAATTAAGACTTCAATTTGAATGGGAAGGGGTGTATTTTGCCATAGTATATAACTTTTGTCACAACATTTATCCACTTGCCATGCTCAGACTTCGTCTAGGCACATTTTTCTGCGAAGGGTATTATGAAATAATTAACTATATAGAAAAATATGTTATGTGAGGTTGTGGTATGTGATATAGTACAGCCATGACAGTTTATGTAAGTGATATTTGGAAAATGTAAAGGGCAAGTTTAGAATTTAGAATTTTATGGGTAGCTTCTCAGAATCCAAGCAGCCATTTTTTTGGGGGGGGGCATAATTTATATTTTATTTTACTGTGGAAAGAATACTTAATATTATATCTACCCTCTTAAATTTATTAAGTGTATAACATATTATTGTTGATAAGTGCAATGTTATACAGCAGATCTCCAGAACTGTTTCATCTTGCTTAAATAATCTTTATGCCTTGATTCATCTCCAGATGGTATAATTTTTTCTCATTTTCCACTTTAGAATCATTACTTTGACTAGGTGGTATGTCTAAGACTCAATGTGTCACTTTGTAAATTACTACTGCAATGCTATCTGTGTTTGTTGAATAACTGGTACCTATGTGTATCATCTACTGTCAAAACATGTTAACAAATTCAAATTATCATGAAAATTAAGTAAAGGTCAAATACAATCAGAAAAATACTTGAATATTATAGCAAGGGTCAGAAGATGCAAAAATCGATGTAAAATTTATTGAAAATTTTCAGTTTAAATACATCATTGTGCAGCACTATTTATTAATTAGAATTACATTGTGTCAAAACTTTCATAAGCCCTGGCTGGTTTGGCTCAGCAGTTAGAGCGTCAGCCTGTGGTCCAGAGAGACCAGGGTTCGGTTCCCACTAAGGGCATGTAACTTGGTTGCGGTATGTCCCTGGCCCTGGTTGGGTCATGTGGGTGGCAGCCACTCGATGTGTCCCTTTCACATCGATGTTTCTCTCTCTCTCTCTCTTCCTCTCTCTCTCTCCCTTCTACTCTATCTGAACAAAAAATGGAAAAAAATGTCCTCGGGTAAGGATTAAAAAAAAAAAAAAACACTTTTATAATTTTCATTATTAAAGAATTTAAGGAAAAATCAATGACTATAATTAACTTTTTATATAAAATGTAAATATATTAATCTAGTTAAAATTTTTCTTTCATTTTTGCAGGCATAAATTGTTCAGAAATAATTGGCCAGTGTCAACCACATATCTGTTTCCATGGGAATTGTAGCACTATTACTGCAAATAGTTTCATTTGTGAATATGAAGAACCATTTTCAGGTAAAAACAATGTACATATATCTATAAATGTATATGTGCAAATAATTTTAATTTTTTCTTATTGATTGCAAATTAAATTTAAAATGATTTATTTATTACTGAAAATACAATTTTAGATGTTCTATACTCTGATTTTTTACGGATAAATTTAATAAATCTATTGGGTTAGCAAATAATTGATTATCCTGCTAAATATTCTTTAATATAGGAAGAGTTTGGACATTAGTTGACGTATTTTATACCATGATAAAATATATGTGTTCTTAAGTACTAAAATATTTTTAGAAATAGTACACATTTTGCAGATAATTTGCATAATTGCATCTAACATTTCCTTAGGTAACCTATTACAGACAATCCCCTTTTATGAAGAATAAATTGTTTTTTTTCCTCTCAAATGAATTTAAAGAAGTAAAATGACATTATTGTTTAAACTAGTAGTTTGTTAACTTTGATTAAATGTTTTAACAAGGAAAATATATTTAACCCATTACCTATATCTTTGAACTCTTCTACAGTTTTCCGCTTTCTGGGAAATACAGTTCACTAACAGCCTCACTTCAAAGTGTCTTTAGGCAGTGGTATCTTTAGCCATCACTGGATTCTTAAAGACTCCTTTTGTGAGAGTGAAACAAAATATAATTGTCTCCCAATCTATGGATTGTGCGGTGTTTCTCTTTCAGGTCCTTCTACCTAATTAAATTGGGAGACATTTGACCTTTTTGGTAGAGTACATCAGTCACTGCCTCACAGTAAGAGGGATTGGACACCATGTAGGCAGTAAGAACTCCACTTATATGTGGAATCTAAGAACAAAATAAACAAACAAAATGGAAACAGACTCATGGACACAGAGAAAAAATTGAGGATTGCCAGATGAGAGCGAGGCTAGGTCAAGGGGTCCTGTCTGGTTTGGTTCAGTGGTTAGAGCATCGGCCCATGGACTGAAGGGTATTGGGTTTAATTCCCTGTCAAGGGGGCTTGCCTGGGTTGTAGGTTTAATCCCCACCCCAGTGAGGGTCATGCAGAGTGCAACCGATTGATGTGTCTCTCTTTCACATGGATGTTTCTCTCTCCCTTTCTCCATCCCCTCTTCCGCTCTATCTAAAAATCAATGGAAAAATATCCTTGGGTAAGGATAAAAAAAAAAAAAAAAAGTGAAGGAATTTAGAAGTACAAATTGATAGTTACAAAATATTTATGGGGGTATAAAGTCCAGTTTTAGGAACATAATCAATAATATCGTAATAACTAAGTATGAACCCAGGTAGGTACTAGAACTATTGGGGAGATCAGTTCATATATTATATGATTGTATGAACACTATGCTATACACCTAAAACTACTATAAAATTATGCTGAATGTCAATTGAAGAATAGAAAATAAAGATGAAACCTCAAAAAATAAAAGGAACTGTAACTCTCTTAAATAAATATTTTCAGGTCTTTTTTCCTTCAAGTCTTTTGTTTCCTTGAGATAGGTTATGAGTTGAAAAGCATATAATTTGCCTTTCAAACCATGGCATTTTTAGCAAAAGAGGTAGCAAAAAGCAGTTAAAGTTATATAATATTTGAAATCTTTATTTATAGATTGGCAATTTGGTTTCATTACATAGGCAAACATATAAAGTAGTTTATCCACCCGGCCAGTGTGGCTCAGTAGATTGAGTGTTGCAGATGGACTGAGAGAACTTGGTTGGATTCTTTGTCAGGGTACATGCCTGGGTTATGGGCTCCATCCCCAGTATGGGGCGTGCAGGAGGCAGCTGATCAATGTTTCTATCTCTGTCTCCCTTCCTCTCTCTGTTTTAATAAATAAGTAAATAAATAAATGAATGAATAGTTTATCCAAAAATTATTTTTAAATAAAATTTTTCCAAGAAAAAAATTATAGTTTTGTATCTGCAAATCAAAAGGAAAATTTAAAACATACCTTATATTGGTTATCTAAACATTACAGAATAATTTAAACAGAAACTACATTTAGCCATATTTATGTCTAATAATATGTTGTATTTTTCTGAAGAATGAATATTTTTCCATATGGTCTTATTATTTTATTTTTTCATAAAATCATCTATGCCTTCTTCAAAGTTGTATTTCTGATTAATAAATTTAAAATTATTGCTTTCAACCAATCTTTTCCTAATTATGCCATTCCTTAATTTTAAAAATTTTCACTTTGCGCATATATTGACGTTTCTGTTCATCTCAAAGTACAGCCGGAACCCAGGTTCGGCTGCCTGTGCCATGAAAACCAAACTCGTGACACAGATGCTGGTGAACAGGAAAGAGGTCTTGGCGAGTGCTGGCATCTCGAGAGGATCGGGGACACTTGTCCAAAGCCCGTCTCAGCATCTCAGTGCAGGCGGGGCTTTTACAGGGAGGGAGGGGAAAGCTGAACAGAGAGATGGGAAGGAGGGGCTGTGGATAGGTGGACGGACTTGCAGGCAGTGTCCTTGCTGGTGTCCATATGGATCGTTAATGTGAGCACACTGGAACTGGTCAGTGCTGGGCAGACTCTTGTGGCTGGGCGGTCTGTGTCAGCGAAGTCATGGTCAAGGCTGTTTCTGGTCCAACCAGGAAATGCAACCACAGATGCCTGCCATCTGCTTATACGGAAACTGTCAGTACGCGGGTTTCTCTGATCAGTTTGTTAGCACATTTTATTCTAAATCCATCTCATGGTTAGTCTGAGCAGTATAAAGTTTTACTCCTTGTTATAAAAGGAGAAGCTACTACACGGAAAGTATTCTGAATTCTATATTTTGTATAAAATACATAGATCAAATATTTACATTGGAGCCATATTTTTATTCTATTCAGATTTATTTTCTTTGACAAACATTCTCAAAAATAATCCTCATAAAATAAATGGTTTCTACATGAGATTCCTTTGAGAGTTTGGCCAAAGTTAGCTGCTGCAAAAGTGTAGGTCTTCTCAGTTTAATTCTGGCACATAATTCTATCCATGAAATATTGGATATTTCTACCTTCAAATATTGCTTTCCACATATCCAGTTATTCTAAAGCACAGTTATTATGTTTATAATCTTGTACATTGTTGAACTTATAGAATTTGTTAGGTGTGATCTTTGCATTGTGCAGGAATAAACTTTAATGTTTTTTTTAAAAAGTATTTTTTCTTTATTGATTTTTAGTGAGAGAAGAAGGGAGAGGGAGAGAGAAATTGAAACACTGATGAGAGAGAACATCAATTGGCCGCCTCCTGCATGCCCTCCACTGGGAATTTTTGGTCCACAAACTGGGCATGTGCCCTGACTAGAAATCGAACACTCAACAACTGAGCCACACCAGCCCAGCAACTTTAATGTCTTTTATAAATAAGTACAACTCACTAACACTTTCAAAACCGATATTTTTGTGCTTAATATATTAATTTTTTAATTAACTGCTTGCAACAAATTTTGAACAAGATATAACCAATATTTGGAGGATTCTTTCACTAAAATGTCAAAATAGCTCTGAAACACTTAGATATATTTTTAGTCATTCTTCAGAAGTTTAAACATTACTAAAATCTAAATGTTAATGGACAACAGTGAGAGAAAACATGTTCTGCCATGCAATATTTTGTTTCAAAATCAGTTTTGTCACAAAAAATGTAGTGTGCTCTCTTGTAAATATTTAAAATCATCTGTGAATTTTGCAGCTATAGATTCTAGTCCAATTGTGCAAATATCACAATTATTTTCAGTTTAAAATATTAATTATGTACGTACTACAATAATTCTAAGTACAATTTTCCATCCTTTTCTCAACTTAAAGCAATGTATAGATCATAATATACTTAATAAAATTTATGTATAGAATTTTATAAGAACAATGATTTTATCTTTGAATATTTTTGCTAAAGTTCCAAAGCATTTCTGATATTGTCAGATGTCTTGCCTTTAACAGAACAAACTTGTAAAGCTTTATTTTCTTCCCAATGAATTGGATGGAAAAATCAAATCATTATTAAAATTAACTGATTATCTATTTGAAGTCTCTGATTTTACTAAAATTAATCTGGCATGTTTTAACTGTATGTACATTTATTATAGATACACAGCCAATACATTTATAAGGATAGTTCAAATGTTGTATATACAAAGGGACCCACAATAGAAAATGAGGGAAATAAGCTTGGTAGAGTCATTTGATCTAAATGAAAAGACCAGCTTCACAGATCGATATAGAAGAATACTTTCTGCATGTGTATCTAACTTATCACTGGAAGACAGTTTTCTAATATAATTACCAACATTTAAAACAGATGCTGATTCTTCAACTAGTGCTTGTCTTCTGGTTTTCATATAGAAATGACGTCACTAATATACTGTGATGAATCATGAATAGTAACATAGTTTGGGGCAAAGTATGTATCTATCCATTATCAAATTTATAGGGAAACATAAATTTGAAATATTTTTATTAAACTGTAAACTATTTCTTTTGATCTTATTACATATTAAATGTTTATTATAAAGTAAAAAATAAACATCAGCATACAATAAAATATGCAAATAGTTGTATATTCATAACAGGGGCTTGCATACTTTATTTCTGTAAAGGGTTAGTAGTAAATATTTTAGACTTTCGGAACTTTATGGTCTCAATTGCAATAACTCAAGTCTGCTATGGTAATGTAGAAACAACCACAGATAATATGTAAAAGAATACGTTGATCTATGTTCCAATAAAACTTTATTTATAAAAATAAGTGGAAAGTCATATTGCGCTCACATTATAGTTTACCAACTTCAGATTTATACCATATAATAAATAACCAAACCTATATAAAAAGAACATACAACTGACTCTATAAATTCTATGACAAGACTGTTTGGCTTCAATTTGTCTCATATAAAACAGAGACATAATTCACAATTTTCTGGGGTTCCCATTGCCCTGTTTACTTGCTGACAGGCACCTTGGCACTCTGAGGGCAGCCTTATCCGATACTTCTCCCTCCAAACGAGAAAAGGTGTCAGCTA